TTCTGGTAGATGGAAAGCCTTTTGGGTTATTGTTCACTCAACCAAGTATTAAATGAGATTTTCAAGAGTTTTATTAAGTTATAAGTTTACATAATCTAGGCTTCTCATTTTAGTGTTGTCTTTTAAAAATTATATGTTATCACAAAAATTATTTTGATGTATTTTTACCCCCAAGGTAAAATGCAACAGATTGCCTCCTAGACAGGAGTAAATGTGGGAAATACTGCCTAACACTCAGCCAAGAACTAGGAGTGCCTAAGAAAATGTAAACCCAATGCTAGAAACATATAGCCGGACAAGGATTTCAGACAAATCTTATTGATTTTCCACACGCACTTACCTTAAGCAAGGACTAGTGGCTGGGTATTAAACAAAAAATGTGGCCAAGGTTAAAAACATGTGACAAAACTTGCTACTCCTTGCCATCCCTCCAAAAAAAAACCAACCAAAAACAAAGACTGCAGGCTCACATGCCTAAACCCACAATCCTAGGAAATCATCAACTATCATGAATTAGGAGTTTTCCATTGTCCCTCTGCATATGGACCCATTCCTTCCTCTGGCCCTAGGCTGTGGGGTAGTTGGCTATTTTTGACATTTCCCTTTCAAAGATGCCTTTACAAATCCAGGTTTGGGCAGGTGACCAAAGACTGGCCAATCTGTATATTCCAGCCTGTTGACCACTGGAACGTCCATGTGAACCAAGTTGATCCAGAGGCCCAATTAACGGAGATTTTTGTGTGAATTACTAGGAAATAGAGAAGCTTTCCATTGAGATTGCCATATAAGAACATATATGAACATATAAGAACAATATGTGCTTGGAACTTCTGAGTATCATTATGGGGAAGAGGGTCCACCAGAGGATAAAGCCAGCTTAGAGGAAAGCAAAGCTGAGAGATGGACAGAGGGAGAGACAGGGAGGGAGGAGGAGATAGAGAGACAGTGCTAATGACATCGGACTGTGATGTGAGCAGGAAGAAACCTTTATTGGGTTAAGCCACTGATATTTTAGAGTTGTTACAGTAGTTAGCATACCCTGATGAACACACCCAAAAATGAATATAGTACTGTAGTTCAATGTTCCTCTCTGCCCTGTGGTTTTAGAACACTGGACCTTCTACCTATTCTATGCTTTTACTTTAGAAACTAGTTAAGGACACACTTTTTTGGAGGAAGTTTAACATATTAAATTAAAAAACTCCAAACTAGTAATTATTATAAAATACAGTTTAATTTCACTCTTTCCATTTACCACAAAATTTTAAAAATACCAATATACAGACAAGAGCAAGTGAGCTGGAAAAGAGCTAAAAATTGTATAAAAGACAAAGCTAAACTCAGGAATATATAAGCAGTGACACAAACACACCATACACTCTCAAATGAGTTCAGAAAGCATATTCCAGGTTGGACGGGTTTTCTTTCTAAAGTCAGATTTTACTGGAAGCCACATCTGGAAACTCCCTAACCAAAATTCTTATATCATGTTGGAAGGATCTTCCTAGACTTCTCTTAAAAAGCATTTCTCATAAAACAACCCACACCAGAGAGGCAGACTTATTCTAGGCACAAAAGTCATAAATGTCTCTACTAGGCCCCATGGAACTTGGAAAAATTAATCTAATGAAAACAAAGCACTATAGAAATGGGAAAGTGACACCTAGTGGCCACCTAGCAGGTTTTCTTATGGCTTCTGATAATTCTGTATGTCAGCCCTGCTGGGCCCATAATACTGTGCTTGGCAAATCTGAGTCTCCAATTCCAGAGCCCAACAAAGACCTACCTGAGTGGTAGATACCTCTTTAGAGGAGGATCTGAAACTGGACGCCACTACACATGGTCTGATAACTAGATAGTGGCTATTTCATATACCTGTGCTCTAGACTCAATAGAGATTCCTCAAAGATTATGATGACCAATGAATACAGCCTTTTCCCATTGTGACATTGTAATTAAATACTTCTCTTTAATTCTATTTATTTATCAAAAGTCTATTCTGTATCTTCCCGTTTCTGTTTCTCAATGGATTTCCAAATTTAGTGACTACCATAGGGTGTCAACATGACCTCAAGTTTTATTTTATTTCAGATTAGCATCATGTAATAAAATATCTATCATTTTCAAGTGTACTAATTTCAAAAAAGTTTTAAATTTGATATATGGGTAGAGGCTCAGAGTTATTTGATTGTAATGAATCAAGGATCAATAAATAATTGTTCTTTAATCCATAGCATTTAGAGGTAAATGTACTTTCAGTATAACTTTTGGTCCACTTAAATAATATCCACTTAATAAAATGTTCTAGAGCAGCGCTACTGTATGGAAATATAATGTGTGCCACGTGTGTAATTTAAAATTTTCTAGTAGCCACATTAGAAAAGTTAAACATTAAAATTCTTAAATTTAATTCAGTATATCCAAAATATTATGTGAACATGGAATCAATATAAAATTGTTAATGTGGTATTTTATATTCCTTTTTTCCATACTAAGTCTTCGAAATCTGGTATTTTACATTTACAGCGCATCTCAATATCTATTAGCCACATTTCAAGCCACATAGTGTCTGACTCTAATGCTCAAGTCCTGTGCATGAGAATCACAGAATCAGAACTGGAAGTCAAGTGAGAGATCAAACCTCTTTTTACAAATAAGGAAACTGAGGTATAGACAGTTTAAATGGCTTTCCTGAGGTCACACAGCTAAATTGAGGCTGAGTGGGCTCTTCTGATTGTTGGCACTCCTCCCACTCCACTACGTTATTGTAGGTGCAGTCGTCCCCAGTATCCACAGGGGAACTGGTTCCAGGACCCCCCGCGGATACCAAAACCCGAGGATGCTCAAGTCCCTTAGTCAGCCCTTTGCATATGCGAGTTCTGCATCTGCAAACTCAACTAACCGAGGAGGGTAAACACAGTACGTGATCTGCCGGTGGTTGATCTGCAGATGCAGAACCAGCGGATTTGGAGGGCTGAGTGGAATTCTTAAGGTTAAAAAAAATTAACTAGAGTAGTCTTTTTATGACATTTTCATTAAACTTGTAGATATTTTTCACCAAAATGCAAGAAATTAATTGGTAGGAGAAATAAGTAATATAGTTTAAACCATAAAAAGCCATAAGTTACTCCTAGCAGCAATCAAATGTAAATAGAACGCGTTTTGAAGAAAACACCAAACTTGGGAGAGCTACAGTATCATACAGTGCGTGGATTGGAATCTGGGTCCAGGGCAGGAAGATCTACAGAAAAACATTAGAGTGAGTTATTAAGGGATCAAAACATTCAATTGGCTACCTGCCCTCAGGTCTATGGAATAAGCCCCCCTCTTGGAATGAGAGAACTGCTACTGTGTAAGGTGGCAGTGACCTGCCCTGGAAACTCTGCCTCTCAGATCCTTGCATCATGAGGATTGGCCCCACCTGCCTTTGAGGCCATCTAGCCACAATGGTAGCCATCTGCTACCATGGCTTAGGTCAACTCTGGAGGTCAAGCCCAACCTGCAATGGTTCAGACCTCTAAAATACTATATTATTTGTCGGCAAGCCTTTGTGCCTGCCTTAGAACAGGTGATCGTTCCTGCTTCTATAGACTTAACTATCATGCTGCAAACTAATCTCCCCCACTTTGAAGCCTTCTTCCATTTATTCCAAACCTGGATGTCTCTCAAGTTCTCAAGTGTCAGAACCAGGAGTGGCGCTGACCCTCCGACATTGCTGGAACATTGTATTGGCTTAAGAAGACAACAGGCCAATACATCCTTGCCCACATCGCCACTGCAAGTGTCACACTTGAAAGGGACATCTGCTTTTGGTTATTGCCTGTTGGTATGTTTGCCATGAATGTGTCTGATGGCAGTTCTAATCTATCGCCTACAGCCTAAAGAAGTATGCAAGGTCAAGATAATGCTCTGTTTAGGTGATGGGCTCTGAGGGAAATCTGCTGGAAAGATATAGCACCATATCAAGAAAGAGAACTGGATTTGAACCCCACATCTGAGTGTCAGGGTTTCTCCATTAGTTTCCTAGCCTATCTAACTTTCATTTGTGGGGCACAAAAGAGAATATGCGGGAACACATCTGGTAGAGCGAGCTATTAAAACAGAAGGTGTTATGGAAGTATAATCTTCAAACAGGTAGACATACATACAGTATCTGAAATATTCTTAATTCTTACACTCAATTTGAGCCCTGTCTGTATTAATTACTGGTTAAGGAAATGCTTTCCAAATTTTTAATTACAGCTAGATAACTGTTTTTTAAATTCTTTCTCATTGCCTTGTGGTTTTAGCGTATTTACTATTTATATAATTGTCTTTGGTGACAGGCAACAGTAACTATAATTGCCTAATAATCTAGAAGGCCATGACTAGTTCCTGGGTCAGTTAATTAATCACTTAACCAGTGAGACCATAAAGAGACTGGTTTACACACATTAAACATTAAACAATATACAAATTTAATTGTGATTTTACACAAGACATTTAATCTGCCTGGGCCTGTTTCTTCCTCTAAGACTAATCCATCAGTAAGCATGTTTTCAGCATCAAAAACGTGTCCTATCTGTAATGGAAATCTTGAGTGGTTTTATTAGGAGTAAATCTTATATTTAAAGGTAAATAACTAAAATCGAGGGCTCAAGATCTTTCCTTTTCTGTAAGCAAAATTGACACTCTCAGCTTTTCTGAGTTTTAAATAAAAAATCATCTCACTTAAAATCCATCTCAAAGTGCTTGACTGAGCATAAACATCCTGGCTTTGTGCCATCCAAGTCTACAAAGACTGAATACAGTATTCATTGTGATTATGACTATAAATTGCACCATCCCTTTAAATGTTCAAGTACTCACCGTTTTCTTAAAGTGTATAAGCCCTATCCTCAATTATAAATGGATCTTAGACACAAGGAAAATGTCAATATATGCAATTCCCCAAACTCAAAAAAACTGCATCAAAAAATACAAACAAAACCAAAACAAGATGCATGTGATATTCTTGGTTAGAAATATTTTAGCAAAAATATAGTAACTAGTGGGTTTTAAGCCATTTCACTGAATAAAGAGGTCTGCAGGAAACTCAGAGCAGTTCTTTTTGAAGGAAAAATCACATATCCCTATACCTCTCTGAGAGTAAGGTGAAAAAATCTATAAAAATTGGCAGACCATTAATAGGAATTATAGAAATAGTATCAATACAGTACAGAAGAATATACAGTTTTTTGTAAATGAAATGCTTTAAAACGTTTCTCATTTTTGGAGTTAAAAATCAAATGCTAGAGTGTCCAGTGGATGTCACTGAAGTCCCCGGGGTCTCCTAGGCCCCCCTCTGCTTCTAAGTAATTCATGAAGGCAGCCATGGCTGTGTCGTCATTGTCACACAGGGCATCGAAATCCAGCTGGGCACCTTCACCTATTGAATTACAACACGGGCCTGTGTAAGTACATCTGGAGGTTAAAAATGAGTATCATCAAAAATGGCAAACAAGGATAGAATACCATACAATATATTTTTGAAGGCAAAGCATATGTCTTAAATTGCAGAAGCCTGATGTATTTTTAAATGGGTCGCTTATTTTTATAACAATCTACTGTCAGATAAATTGCGCTTAACTCATCTGATGCACATAAGTGAGCTAGTCTATGAGTTTTCTAATAGAAAACAACAGTGCTAAAAGGTACAGACTCCTGGACAGTTGAAAGCTAGGGGCTGGAGTTTACGCGTGCATATATAGAACCCGGAAGGAGAAATTTAACTCTAATCTGCCTTATGAAAATACTCTAGTTGTTTAACCTGAAAATGAGAAGGCTGAGACAAAAGCACCATCTTCTAAAAATCTGAGATACTCTTATAAAAGAGGAGTACCCAGATTTTTGATTGATAAAGGAAATAAGGAGGAACCATGGAAACGAGATTTACGTTAGAGATAAGGAAGAGGTTTTCTAGAAATCAAGGGTTATAACACAGCTACAGATTAACCAAAGTTTTCTAGGTATCTTTCAAAGTACAGTAGAATTTGAGATGATTAATATGTGGCTCTGTGTGAAGCTGATATCCAGGTTCCTTCAAGTCCTTTGATTCTCTTTCATATACATTTTCAGTAGATCAATGTCAGTCATGGGGGTACAACACTGTGTCATTTCAATTTACTTGATTTAGACTTTGCATAAACATAGTTAAAATGAATAATTACATCTTACACTTTTTATGATTGGTATCCTTTAAAAATTCATTTTCTTGAGAATGGACATTTCTGCTTAGACATAAGTACTTTAGTTTTATCTAAATTGTGTGTATTAACAATACCCATAACTGATTCAGTTGATAATTGAATTTTCAATGACAGGTCCGTTAAGTAATATAAATCTTAAAATCAAGAGTATAATTATTGTATTTAGGACTTTGAATGGAAAAAATCTTAAGTTTTAAAACTGTTTTCTTCTCTAGAAATCTCCTATGCCTGAAAATATAGTGATTAAGAGAGTTTTTAGAAAACCAAAATGGCAGGCAGTTGCCAAAGAAAACTTACTGAGGAGTGGTTCGTGACTGTGGGGAGCAACAGCGTTCTGGTTTTGCCTTGTAGCCTCTAGCTCCCGTATTTCAGAAGGACTTAGTGTAATCAACTCCTTATTTGACATCTGAAAAGACAGAATAATAAACAGTAAGGTTCCTACTTGAATGAAATAAAGACCTCCTAGCAGTTATCACACATGGGCCTGTCCACAGTGCCACCACTGCCGTCATTGATAAGGCAGCCTGCACTTACTGAGTATGTGCTGAGCACTCCACTTACATCATCTCATTTCATGTTTAAAACATTGGGAGATCAGGAATCTGAGGCCTAAAGAGGCTAATATCTTGCCTGAAGTGTTGGAGTCATGACTCTAGTCCAAGTCTACCCAACTCCAAAGCCCACATTCTTCATAACCATAATTGGAGGCACATACTACACAGAAAAGTTTTGGATTAAGAAGAAGCTATTTCAGTTTTTACAAAATGATGGTAAAACTATATATCTCATTGGAAACTACAATGGGAAATACTGCTTTGGAGTAAGAATGGATTAAATCAGAGGCTTTCACCAAAAAGTTAACACGCTGTTACATAGTTATAGGCCAAACAATATAATATTCAATATGGCTCATCAAAATAAGAAATCATTTACCTATAGTGGCTTATGAAGTTGATGAACTTTATCTATAGAATGCCTGTATAACGTACACCTCCTGGAGATTTTTGTGTTACAATGACTTAAATCTCTGTTTCTAGCATATTGTCTAGCACAAAATGGGTACCCAATAAATAATTGTTAAATGTATGAGTAAAATTTAAAAAAATACTAGACAAAAAAACTTATGATATTTCTATAAAAACATACTTTCAAGTTCCCTTTTGTCCTTGGTCAGACTTAATTCCTCTCTTCTCCTACATTCTTGTACCACTTTGTTTATATGCCTAGTTTAGAGCTTTTTATTGTCTGGGATACATTAGAATTACATTGTATGTGAATCTTCTAGATCTTCAGCACTATGCTTAGTCATTTCTGTATATGCAACAATGCATTTCAAATAGCTAGTATTTGTTCAATTGAACTAAATAGTATGTAATACTTAACTTGTAGCTTATATTATTTAAACTTTTTTTCCAGATCATAAAGAGTACATTTAATCCACTGAATTGGAATCTATTAAAATAGCAATAATAACTACCATTTATTGAGCACATATTGTGTACAGGCACTGTTAAGTTTTTGTGTTTTTTGGTATTAAATCACTTAATTCACACACCACTCCAAAAGATTGGTGCTATTATTATCCCTGTTCTATAGATGAGGAAATTGAGGCACAGAGTTTAAATAACAAGCCGAAGGTTACCCAGCAGTAAGTGTCTGAGTCACAACTCGTATCCAGATAGTATGCTTCCAGTGACTTGACTCTTCACCACTTTTCTACATTGCCTCTTAAAAATCATGGATTGGCTAGAAAGAGTTCATTTTTTACAGGATGGCTTCTTTTCTCAAAAGAACAGGAAGCAAATTTTATTGTTCATTTATTTCATGAATATTATCACTTATGATTATACTTACATTTCTGCAGTTTATAGTGTGAGTATCTTTCATTAAATCTGTTGGACTTGAATCATCAAGGGATGAAGAAGACTGTAACCTTTAAAAAGTGACACAAAACATTTTTCTCTCTATATAAGAAAATTTTCTCCTGGATACATAATCTACTGATAAAAACATAGTGAGGAAGCTGAGACTAAATATCATGACAGTTTTCACAATTAGACTGACTTATTCAGTGCCAGACTTATTTTTGACTATGGAGTGCAGAAAAAAACACTCTGTAGTAAATAGAAACATAAAACTGTGAGGTAAAAGCTCTTAAGTAAATCATGTTATCTGAAGGGGTTAATCTCCAAAATGTATAAAGAACTGATGCATCTCAACAACAAAAAAAACTAACAACCCAATTAAAAAATGGGCAAAAGACCTGAACAGACATTTCTCCAGAGAAGATATACAGATGTCCAACAGACACATGAAAAGATGTTCAACATCATTAACTATCAGGCAAATGCAAATCAAAACTATAATGAGATATCACTTCATGCCCATCAGAATGGCTATAATTAACAAGACAGGAAACATCATGTGTTGGAGAGGATGTGGAGAGAAGGGAACTCTCATACGCTGCTGGTGGGAGTGCAAACTGGTGCAGCCACTATGGAAATCAGTATGGAGATTCCTCAAAAAATTAAGGATAGAAATACCATATGATCCAGCTATTCCACTGCTGGGTATTTATCCAAAGAACTTGAAAACACCAATTCGTAAAGATACATGCACCCCTCTGTTCATTGCAGCGTTATTCACAATAGCCAAGACTTGGAAGCAACCTAAGTGCCCATCAAGGGACAAATGGATAAGGAAGATGTGGTATATATACACAATGGAATACTACTCAGCCATAAGAAACGATGAAATCCAGCCATTTGTGACAACATGGATGGACATTGAGGGTATTATGCAAAGTGAAATAAGTCAGAGGAAGAAGGTCAAATACCATATGATCTCACTAATTAAGTAGTAGATAATAACAACAACAAACAAACACAGAGAGACAGAGATTGGACTGGTGGTTACCAGAGGGGAAGGGGGCAGGGAGGAGGGCGAAAGGGATAATTCGGTACTAAAGGGTTGTAATTAGTATTTGGGTGGTGAACATGATGTAATCTATGCAGAAATAGAAGTATAATGATGTACACCTGAAATTTATACAATGTTATAAACCAATGTTACTGCAATAAACAAAAAAGTTTAAAAAATAATAAATAAATAAAATCATGTTATCTGTCTTAACATAGCACATGGCAAAGTAATGCAATAACAACACAGTTAGTTCAAAATAGCCTTCCATATCAAGAATCAGTTCCTTATCAAGACATTAAACAGCAGAACTGAGAGTTAAGAAAGATTTCCCAACATCCTGCAATCTTTTTTCAAAGTGGAAAATGTGTCATATTTTTACTATAATAGGTCATACCCAGGTACAAAACCAATGAAACACATAACAACATAAACATAATCATACACTTTGATCATAAATCTCTTCAAGACTTAATATGTAAAACTGACAGTATCATATAATTATTAAATGCTCAATTATGTGAAACATAATGGCATAAACATAACTTTGTCTTTGTGTATTCCCAAGAAGGCAGTTGACAAGAAATTAAAGAGTGAAATTAAAACAGAGAAATGAAATGAATTAGGTAGGAAACAGACAAAAAAATCAGTGACATGTCTTGGGGATTTTTCACAGGCGAGTCAGTGTAAATAGCTCGGCTGGCTTCTCATTTTGTGGTTCATGGTTTAAAATCATCACCTGCTCAATTAGCCTTTGTTTAAAGACGAAAACTCTCTCTCTCCCCATGCACTTCACTACTAGATTAATCATCTGAAATATGGCTTTCTTCATAATAGTCCACTGGGCAGAAACTTGCTACTTAAGTCCCTCCTCTTCTTGACTTCACCTTAGTTAAAACTCCCCTCTGCTCAGCAACCTGACTCCTTTCTCAATAAAGTCTTCTTGTTGTCTGCTGAAACCACCATGCTTTCTCCCACCCACACATCCTTACGTTGCCTGAGGTACCTCAATGTATTAATGCTTTCTCCACAGCATCCCAAGGATATTCTAATGGTACCCATTTATCAACATTTGGCTCAATTTCCACTTCTCTTAAAACATCCTTCCAGCATACATGGTCAAATGATCTTCAACAAAGGTGCCAAGACCATTCATTGGGGAAAGACTGTCTTTTCAACAAAAGATGTGAGAAAACTGGATATCACATACAGAAGAAGAAAGTTGGACTCTTACCCTACACCATATATAAAAATTAACTCAAGATGGATCAAAACCTAAACCTAAGACCTAAAACTATAAAATTCTTAGCAGAAAACAGAGGAAAAGCTTCATGACATTGGATTTGACGATGACTTCTTAGATATGATACCACATCACACAAACAAAAATCAATAAACTGGACTACATCAAAATTAAAAAATTTGTATATCAAAGGACACTATCAACAGAATGAAAAGGCAACCCACGGGCTGGGAAACAATATTTACAAACCATATATCTGATAAGGGGTTAATATCTAGAATATATAAGGAACTCCTACAACTCAACAATAACAAAAAACAACCTGATGAAAAAATGGGCAAGGATCTGAATAGATACTTCTCCAAATAAGACATACAAATAGCCAATAAGCCCATGAAAAGATGCTCAGCATCACTAATCATTAGGGAAATGAAAATCAAAACCACAATGAGATACCACTTAAACATATTAGGAGGACTATTACCAAAAAACAGAAAATAAGTGTTGGCGAGGATGTGGAGAAATTAGAACCTTTGTGCACTGCTGGGAAGGTAAAATGCTGCAAATGCTATGGAAAACAGAATGGTGGTTCCTCGAAAAATTAAAAATAGAATTACCATATGATCCGGCAATTCTACTTCTGGGTATATACTGAAAAGAACTGAAAGCAGGGACTGGAACAGCTATTTGTATACCCACATTCCTAGTATCATCATTCACAACAGCCACAAAGTGGAAGCAACCCAGGTATCCATTGACAGACGAACGGATAAAGGAAACGTGGTATATACATACAGTAGAATATTACTCTACCTTAAAAGGAAGGAATTTCTGACACATGCTACAACATGGTTAAGCCAGTCACAAGAGGACAAATATACTGTATGATTCCCCTCATATGAGGTACTTAGAATAATCAAATTCATAGAGAGAGAAAGTAGAATAGTGTTACCAGGGGATAGAGAGAGAGGGGAATGGGAAGTTATTGTTTACTGGGTACAGAGTTTCAGTTTTGCAAGATGAGAAAACTTCTAGAAGATGGATGGTGGAGGTGATGGCACAACAATGTAAATGTACTTAATGCTACTTAACTGTAAACTTAAAAATGGTTAAAATGGTAAATTTCATGTTATCTATATTTCACCATGATTAAAAAATAAAATGCCCTCCACTGATATTTTTTTCATTACCTAGGTCACTGAGTTGTAAAACCTTAAATCTGGAAGGAAACTTGGATCCTATAGTGAGAGTCAGTATGGGATTAAATGCCAAAAACATGCAAACCACACACTTGAACATTTAATAATATATGGTACTGTCAGTTTTAGATATTAGGTATTGGTGAAGAGATGTATGATCAAAGTGTATGATGGATTATATATGCATATCTTTGTACATACGCTTCACAATACTTTCAATACTTAAAGTACATACATATTGTAAGTAGTCGATATTTATTCAATAAAATTAGGCAGACAGAAGTCACATGACAAATGTCTCATTAGTGATTTTTTTCAATTTAAACTTTTTAAACTTAAAAACTAAATTCAAACTGTACAAAGAGGTAGAAAATAAAAAGCAAAAATTTCTTCCCTCTTCTACATGTCTTGTCCCCCAACACCCAGTCCCAAATATGAGAGGTAACTAGTCCGAACAAATTTTTTTGGAATATTATATATTGTGGAGTTCTAGGTTCCTTCTCTACAACTCCAAAATGCAAAATACAATTCCAAAATGCAAAATGCCTTGAAAATTGAAATATTTTCCATAATTCATTTGGCAGCGAAATCCGAATCGATCCGAACTCAGCAAAACCTGACCTATCTGATAGGAGGTTAATTTCTTTGGTCCTACTTGGTACAAATATTTACAACAATTCACTCCAGAAATATATTTGTAAACTTTTATTGTGGAAAACTTCACACAGAGATAAAAGTAGGTAATACAATGAACTCTCATACACCTACCAAACAGCTTCAATAATTATTAATTCTTTCCTAATCTTGTTTAATGTATATACCCCAAACTCTTACTTCCCCTCTCCTCCCAGACATTCTACCATTTAATTTGGGAATATTTCTCACTTCAGAAATACTGACTTAATTGATTATGGAGTGCTGCCCATGACGTAACTGTTCTCTGAGGCTATCACACATACCCCTTAAAAATTGAATTCCAAAACCTATCTTTCTAAAATCCAAAGAAATTCTGAGTTTAAAACCTATCTGGGCTCAAGGGTTTTAGATGAGCAATTAAGGGCCTGTATATACAAACATTCACATAAATCCACACATAGCTATCTTTTCTCTTATACAAGCGGGTTATTATACATACTATTCTTTTGTTCTATTTCTGCCCCAACCATATATTTTCAAGATCTTTCCCTATTAGCATAAATAGATCTACCTGATTTTTAACACTTGCAGAGTACTCCATTGTATGGATATACCATAACAAGTTACAGTTATGATAAATACTTAAATATTTAAACCACTACTGTAAACAATGCAGCAATGAACAGCCTTGTTCATAGATCTTTGTGTAGTTGTGTAAGAATATTTGCTCCTGGGGTAGAAATGCTGAGTCTAAGATTATAAACACTTATATATTTTTCATAGGTATTGTTAAATTTCCCTCCAAAGTAGTTGCACTAATTTATACTCCCACAACCAGTTTTAAGAGGGACTGTTTCCTCACACTCTCACCAATATTGAATACTATTATAAAACTTTCAAATCTTTGACAATCTTCTAAATGAAAAAAAAGTACCTTATTATTGTTTAATTTTTTATGCATATATTTTTAACTGTGAATGGAGAAATTCTTGAAGTTTCTTGGCCATACCTAAGTTTTTTCTGTTCATGTTCCTTCTCCAACTTTATTTATTGAGTTATTTTAAACTTGTTTCATAACTTTATTCTTTATACTATACATAAAATTTAATATAGATAAAGGTTAATATATAGTTACATAAAGTTTATTATATATAAAGTTTAATATAAAGTTCAATAACTTTATACTATAAAATTCTTCATATATTAAGACAATTACTCCGTTTTATCATATGAAATACGCACATTTTCTTCAGTTTATAATTTGTCTTTAACCTTGTTAAACGGTTATGGTTATGCTTAAGTTTTGAGTTTTTATATAACTAAATTCATCAATTTTTTCTTAATGAATTCTGGATTTTGTGTGGTGTTTTGAAAGGACTTTCCAAACTAAGATTATAAAAATCCATACCTGTGTTCTTGAAATACTTTCATAGCTTTACTTAGAACTCTGTGATTTACCTAGAATTTATCTTAGTATAAAGAATAAAGTTGGGTCTAGCTTTATTTTTTTTCCAAATGGTTATAAAGTTATAATGCTCTTAACCATTTAATCCATTTCCCCTTACTAATTTAAAATGCCCCTTTTACCATATAGTAAATTTCCACATGCATTTGAGTCTATTTCTGAAATCTATTCTTTTCCATTAATCTATTTGTGGGTTGTACCAAAATGTTTTAGTGACTGTAGCTTTATAACATATTTTAATATCTGTTAGAGTTAGTCTCATTTTACTACTTTTAGTTTTTAGAATTCTCCTGGATATCCTAATATGGTTAGTATTATTTGTCAGATTCTAAAAAACAAATACATGATGGTATTTTGACTGGATTCAAACTGAATTCATAGGTTTGTTTTAGGAACACTGACATCCTTACAATACTGAGTCTTCCCAATGAAAACTTATATCTGGAAAGCTATTCAAGTCATCTTTTGTGTACCTCTGTAGCATTTTAAAGTTCTTTTTCATATAGTTCTGGACACTTCTTGTTAAATTCATACCTAAATATTTTATCTTTTTTGGTGCTACCGTAAAGGTGATCTTCTCTTCCATTATATAATTGAACTGGTTATTGTTTACATTTAAGAAACCTACTGACTTTTTAAATTAAAGTACAATTGACATACAATATCCTAGTAGTTTCAGGTGTAGATCATAGTGACTTGACATTTATATACATTACAAATGATCACCACAAAAAGTCTAGTTACCATCTGTCACCATACAAAGTTATGAAAATATTATTGACTATATTCCCTACGCTGTACATTACATCCCCATGACTTATTAATTTTATAACTAGAAGTGTGTACCTCTTAATCCCTTTCACCTATTTTGCTCGCCCTCTACTGATTTTCTTATTTTGGTTTTGTAAATATGATAATTTTACTTGTGAAAATATTTGCAGCAATAAAACATTACCTTTGTAAGTCGAGAACTTCGTTGGCAATATCTGTTCCAATACTACCAGCACCAAGTACGGTTCCAGTAGACATTCCAGGCACACTAATACAAGACTGTCTAGAGGATTCTAAATAATAACAAAAGGAAAAATTCAATTGAGGACTTTAAAAAAAAAGTACATAACTTTGGTAAATATCTTTCTTTCAGTTCAAATATATTTCCTCTTTCCCTCTTTAAAAGAAATAGACTAGCTGCATCCTAAAATGTTAGGAACATTATGCTTATCATTACAAACATAACTCATGATGGTTCAAGATGTTTATGAAGAGTGATATGAATCAAATGTGTAGAAAATCACTGAGGGTACAATCATGACCTATAACCTTTGAGTCCAGACAGTTCCTTCCCACTTTAATCTTCATGCTAGAGCCAGAGCAATACTATTTTATTTTTAATCCTTCCCAATATTTTTATATTTATTTATACAAATAATACATTAAAATATTCCTTTGGTGAAAAACTAAGATAAGCAAAAACTCTCCCTTAATGCTTTTCATTAATTTGTCCAACAAATATTTGAGTGCCACACAGTACAAGGAACTATGCTAGCTGCTAGGGATAAATAATGGATAAAACACCATTCCTACTCCTGAAGAAGTCACAGTCTAGTGGCGAGCCAGTTGAGTGAACAACTAATTGCAATACAATGTAAGATTATAACAAAAATGTGCCAAGTCCTGTGGAAATTCTGAGAAAGATAACTCAACCCATAGAAGTCTTTTTGATTTCACTTTGATATTTTTCTCTCTCCAAGACAGAAAAAGATGGTAACTTAATAGTACCAGTCATAGTCATAAGTCACCATCATCTAAAACTAAGCTCACCTTTTGATGATGGAGAGCTGCAAGGAAGTAATGATGCTTCTCCAGTCTCACTATGTCCCCTAGAATTAAGAAACACCATAGATGATTTTTTTTTAAGGTGAAGGAAATTGTTAAAGCAACTACATTAAGTTTTGTGTATTTGATTTGTCGATTCTTGATCCATTTATGCTTTATATACACATATTGTTAATGTCACCACCAGAGACCAAGGTAGCGATGTGATAAATACCAGGGTTTGCCAAATGCCCTATTACCCCATAAAGTACATGTTCTCACAGTTACAGACTTTCAGTTCGTATACTAATGATAAGAAGGCAAGGATTATTGGGATGGGTAACAGGGGATACTGCTGGAGGTACTAAGCTTTGGGGGTTCTTTTTTTTTTTAACTAAATACTGTAGATAAGGAAATAGAATTGGTTTGATGAAACCTTATAGCAATTTCAAAGAGAAACTTATAGAAAAATAATGCTTAGAACAGGGCCATGCTACCATATTGAGCAATTCAGGAAAAGTTGGCTCTTCCTGCAGGCTGGCACAGCCATAGACCAGGGCTTGGCAAAGAGTGCTTGGGCTGGATTTCTCCTCCTCCCTCAGCCAAGTACTCCTGCACAACTGCATGTGGTACCCAGGCTTAGAAGATGGATATGCAAAAATGATATGATATGGAGGACAAAACAATTTCTTACAATGATCTACAGTTTCAAGCCACATCCACATTGTTTATTGCAGGGACAAGACAAGGCCATGAAGGGTAGGAAGGAAATGCTTGAATGAATGTTTACTATCACATTTTATACCAAGCAAAAAGGAATTTATTACAACAGGGCAAACTTCTAGCTTAATTCTAAGAACTCACGGACTGAACAGTGAGTGAATTACTCAAAATATATACTCAAGTTATAAGGCCAGAAGATCACACAGTTTTAATGGCTTAGCAAGATGAGAAGATGGAAGCAAAGATGTTCATTTGAAATTGATGGAAAGGTCTTAACAATATAAAAAATTACTTACAAAACTAAAGTGTTGACAGACACAATATATTCCAGTTCTTTGGTCCAAGGATTTGTGAAACTAAACCACTGGCTTTTTAAAGTTACAAAAGAGCCATCTTTCGCTCTGAATTTGTATGAATCTGTAAATATTTTCTCTTTACTCTGTAGAACTTAACAAGAAAAGATAATAATCAGCATAACGGTCTACCACCATATAAATCAATCCCTCGAGGATTAATTCAAGTTTCAGATTTCACAGGATTGAGAAATTAAGAGTTGAAGCTGTAATTAAAAAGTACCAAAAAACTACCACATTCAATGCATACCTGCCTTGTGCTTGTCGGTCAAATTACTATGGTCATCTTGATGAAAATATTCATAACAAGAAGTTCCCAAAAGTTCCTGAGGCAGATATCCTAAAATTGCTGTTGCCCTGGTTTTAAAATTGAAAATAAACTTCAGAATTGGTGAATGTATTCCCTTTCAGAATATCATACGTCCATACGTGGTCAAGATGGTAGGGAAGTAAACCAGGGGATGAGTAACCCATGTGCGTTACTGGGCTCCTTTGGGCTGCCCTAGACCCAGACTAGGCTGCAAGACAGAATGGACACCCAGGCACCAAGCTGCTCCAGAGGCCGCCCACCAATACCATTCACCAATAATATTGTGGCCACAGAACATGCCCAGTTTCTGCACCACTGGCTAAGAAATATTCCAAGTTTACATTTTGGCTTGAACAAATTTATTGATATATCCATTTCCTTGTTTCATTTAAGCTTTATTTCCTGTTCTGAAGCCTTAAAAAAAAATGCATCAGTGCTACTAAGCCACATCTTTAGCCTTAACTATCCCATTGAACTCTAAGCATTATGGCATGTCGATGTTTACCTTTGATCCACATAGACAAATTTTCCATTTATTGCAAAACGGGTTATAAACTCAGTTGGTTTCACTTTAATCTCTCCACTGTTCTGTGGGACAATATATGGATGTAATCTTCCAATGGCAACAAGGCAGGTAAAATTACTACTGTCTTTCTTATTGTCCCTTTCTTCTTCCATTCCAACAATATTTGGAGGCCAGCTTCTCAAGTAACCAGTGCAGTGAATAGTACAGAATTTTCTATGATCTAATTCAAAAGTTTAAAAAAAGAGCATTTGTCAATTATATCTCAAAATTAGAAAAACAAATTTAAAAAAACATTTGAATCATTATGAATAAATTCTTAAATTTCTGACATTGGCATTTATAATAGTTATAATTATGCTATGAAATAGTCTTTAAATATGCTAAAGAGGGAATAGTATTGCATTGAAAAATCCATCATGTTTATTTAACAACTTTATTCTTAGATTATTTTTCTTAGGAACTAAACTATACGTACTACATCAAAAAGTTAACAGATTGCTTTAATTTAGGTTTAAATAGACCTATAGCTACTTAATTTTTTCCCAGTCAGTTTTTAAAATTACAGTAATTTATGTTAGAAAAAGCTAAACTTCATGCTCCCTTGCTCTAAACCACAAAGACATTATTTTCAGCTTATTCAATTTTTGGTATATTATCATTTATATTCAAAAGTTTAAGGACAATTATGCATACATTCTTAAATTTCTTATGTTAGCACATATAATGGTTAATATATATGTTATACTAGACTACAGAAACATTTTAGTGAACATTTGGAGAAATTTATAATAAAAGGCGTAAGAATAAAATTTGACTCAAATTTCAGTTTTCAGAAAAATCCCAAGCAATTAACTCATAGGAAAAAGCTCCTCAAACAGGTCCAGAATAACAAAAAAATTGGAAATAATCCATTTGCTCAAATATCAGGAAATGCTTAAGAAAACAATGAAATAAACACAGGCATAAAAGATGGGCAGTATACAGATGGCGATCCAAAAAAAAGTGACTTAAAGGTTAAAAAGAGAGGAAAAAAGCCTGGTAAAAATTACTTAAAACAGTTGGTGGTGGTAAGATTTAGAAAAGACTGAACAGTCATTGTTTTAAATCAGCGCTTTTTGGTAAGACTGTTATTACAAATCTTCAAAATAATTTTTTCAATAGAAGAGGCTGTGGGCTGTTACAAGATAGCAACTAAGAGAAAGAGCAAAGATTTAAAGAACACTTTATATGCCATGCTCTAAGTGCTTTAAATGTATAATTCATTTAATCTTCTTAATAGTCCTATGAGGTGTTCTAATATTATCTCCATTGTTTTAGGAAACTGAGAGTTAATGTCAAGGTCACAGCAGGGAAGAGTGGAGTGGAGGTTTACATCCAGACAGGCTGGCTCCAGAGCTCCCCTTCTGAACCACGAATGCCGTGCTATTTAATAGTGAGTGCTCTGTAACGGAAGATGTTCAAACAGGAGTTGCCTGGGTGATGAAGGAGGAAGGGTACAAAAAGGTGTTCCAGCCAGAGGGAAGAGCCAGTGCAAACCAAGAGTCAAGAGAGAGCAGTCAGCAGGGCCGGCCCCGTGGCCGAGTGGTTCAAGTTCTGTGCGCTCCGCTTCGGCGGCCAGGGTTTGTGGGTTCAGATCCGGGGCGCAGACGTACACCACTCATCAAGCCATGCTGGGATGGCGATCCACATACAAAATAGAGTAAGATTGGCACAGATGTTAGCTCAGGGCTAATCTTCCTCAAGCAAAAAAAAAAACAAGAGGAGGATTGCCAATGGATGTTAGCTGAGGGTGAATCTTTCTCCCAGCAAAAAAAAAAATTAAAAAAAAAAAAGAACAGTCAGATGTGGCTGAAGCATAGTCCGTGATGGGGAAGTGGCTGGAGACTAAAGCAGGGAACAGATAGTTTAGCTCTTGTAAATCATGCAGGACCTTGTATTTCTAACAGACATCATCACCTCCATCATCCACAGAACCCTTCAATTACAAGTCATTCTCTCTTCCAACCCCAAAGCAAGCCTTTATCCCTTATTCCCTACCCTGTTTAGTGGCACCACAATCAACCCAGGTGGTTAAATGAGAAACCTGGGAGAAGTCAATCCAGGCTCCTTCCTTTACGTCACCCAACATCCAAGATACCTCAAAGAAATTAAAATTGGGATAAGCCTAGACACAAAGTTTTCATTCATATTAACAAAACTAGATGGCAGTGAAAAATAAAAAGGCTTGTACACTGAGTTTGGCATTTCTGATGACACAAATAGACAAACGATACTGACTAAAATTATTCTACTCAACTGAAAATACAGACTAAAAAAAGTTTTATATTTATATATGATAATTTTACTTTCTTTTTTTTTTTAATTTTATTTATTTTTTTTTCCCCCAAAGCCCCAGTAGATAGTTGCATGTCATAGCTGCACATCCTTCTAGTTGCTGTATGTGGGACTCGGCCTCAGCATGGCCGGTCAAGCGGTGCGTCGGTGTGCACCCAGGATCTGAACCCAGGCCGCCAGCAGCAGAGCGCGTGCACTTAACCACTAAGCCACGGGGCCAGCCCTCTTTTACTTTGATTCTTCTACCATTAGAGAGAAGAGTTGTTGTAACAGGCTTAATAACTAAACTTCCAACTCAATCTGCCCCTCAATTCTCACCTTGAACCTTTATTCAGTTGGCACATTTCTAGTTGGGATTACGTAATTAAATCCACTGCAATCTATTTAATCAATTATCTAAGTTAAAAATAATCCCATAAAAAACCTTATCCCAAGAATTCTTTAGACTTTTACCTAAATATTGGGGTCATGGGCCCCAATCCTTACCAAATTATTTATTTGCATCAGCTCTACAGGGGAGATTCATGTGTAAGCTACTCCATGATTTAAAAAAGGGAAAAAACCCTATATTAACCCAAACACTGCTCCAATTTACAGGATATCTTTTCAAAATCCTTTGTGAATTTTTCTTCAACAAGTTGCAGGCTGGGTCCCTCAACTTGGTATCTTACTGTGTTAGTTTGAATTCTCAGAGAAGCGGATCCTGAGACAAGGATTCAAGCAGCGCATTTGGGAGGCGATCCCAGGGAACACTGGTAGGGAGGTGGGGAAGTGAGACAGAGAGGAGGAAGAAGCTAATGAAGGATACATTTTCCAGCAAGTTGCCACTTTGGGAAACCAAAGCGATATTTATTAGGGGCATTCTGGGAAAAAAATGCAGAAAGAGAGCCTCCGAGTTATGCGGTCTGAAGGGAAAGAGAGGTCTAGGATACTGATCCGTCAGCTCCCTTCAGTTAGTGGATGAGGGATGCTCCCAGGGAGCATTGATTCCCCGGCACTGGAGGCCTGTCCCTAGCTAGTGGAGGCAGAACTGTCTCTAAAGACCAGAGGAAGGTCAAGCAGAGAGTGATGGGTGTCGGACATTGGAAGCCAGGTGTCATGCCCTTGACATGGTAGGTGCTGAGAAGATATGTCATGGGGTTCTGACAGTATCTGCCACACTTGTACAAGAAGCCACTGGATTCTGGGTGCATTACTGTATTACTGAGGATCTTACCAAGGTAAATTTAAGAAATATCTAAGGTATGTGGTAGCAGTCATCCATCCTTATCAGCCTTTGATTTCACAAGCTGAAATACAAGAGTAATTTTATCCCTATCTTAGAAGGTTTTTCAAAGTTCCAATCCATGACACTAATATTAGAATCAGGGTAGAAATAATGTTTTTAATGTCAATCTTATTTTTTAAAAACTTTTTATTACGGAAAATCTCAAACATACACAAAATCAGAGAGAACAATATAATAAAGCCCCACTTGAGTGTCTTATGGCCAATCTTGAGAAATGGCCTTTCCATAAACCTTAAATTCAGTTTCAATTAGCATAAAAAGGGGTGCTTGCTAGTCTTATTTTAAATTTAAATGTAACTAAGGCAAAACTATGGAGATAAAAAATCAGTGGTTGCCAGGGGTGTGGAGGGGAGAGATGAAGAGGAAGAGCGTAGAGGATGTTTAGGGCAGTGAAGATACTCTACATGATACCAGCGACGACAGTATGTTATTACACACGTGTCCAAACCCACAGAATGTGCAACACCAAGTGAACCCTAAGGTAAACTATGGCTTTGCGTTATTATTATAATGTGTGAATGCAGGTGTCATCCTTGATAAAGAAAAAAAAAATACTATTCTGGTGGAGGATGTTGATAATGGGGAAAGCTATGCATGTGGAGGGGCAAGGAGTATATGGGAAATCTCTGTACCTCCCTCTCAATTTTGTTGTAAATCTAAAACTGCTCAAAAAATAGTCTTAAATTATTGTTTAAAAATTTAAATGTAACTGACATGTCATAGTAGAAGGGAAGAGAGACACCTTTACTAACTACAGGCTTTCTTCATTAACAGGGAGTGGTCTTAAAACAGTGAATTCCATTGGCTACTTAGTATTGGAAAGAATGATTGAGTAGTAAAAATCATTTTACTTGCCAGACACGATCCTTGGTTAAAGTAGAATACAAAATTATCTCACGAGTGGGCAGTCATCCACGTGGCCCATCAGGGTTACATTCTGCAGTTACCTTATCCTGGCCCAGCCATCTGTCTACATGTCTGTCTACACACAGTTCTCCTCAAACCAGGCCCTGTGAGGAAGGGCCGTGCTGATTGTTAACACATGCCCTTACCATTCCTTAGGCCAAACTGGCCTCATGCCTTTGGCACAGAGCTCTGGAGCGTTAAGTGAATACTTGGTTCAAGTACTTGAGCAGATTAAAAAGTCCGTTTTGAGAAGATATTTGACTCTGACTGCAGGCATCTGTGTGGCCCAGCTTGACGTGGGCGTGAGCAACCATGTGTGGGCAGGAAGACATTCCTACAACAGAAGCCAACCCCCTTGCTGTGTGTCTGCTCCAGAAATCATCTAGAATGGATCTCTTTCATTAATAACCTTCGGCATCTAGGAAGCTACTCTAGTAGGGGGCATGGCATAGTTGAAAGAATACAGATTTTAAAGCTAGGTTCCTGATTCTGCCACTTTCTATGTGACTTGGGACAAATTAACCTTTTTAGGCTTCGGTTTCTTCACTTGTAAACTAGGGATGGTTTGCACAGGATTGCTATGTGGATTAAATTAATTACTTTATGTAAAGTGCTTGGCATATAGTACATTTTAAATAATTACTGATTTTCTTCTTGCTCTCATTTTCCTTCTCTTCTTTCTGAACCACAAA